TCTAGGGAACAGGTGATGTTCCTGCAGACAGGAGGTGGGCAAATGTTTTCCCTATCTTCCAGAAGGGGAAACAAAGATAGAATTACAAGCTTGGTGGATCAGGGGAATGCTGTGAGTATGATGTACTGTATCTTGATTTCAGTAAAGCCTTTTGACAAAGTTCCCCATGATATTCTTGCAGAGAAGCTGGTAAAATATGGCTTGGATAAGGTTGGGTGGATTTGTAGCTTATTGGCTGACGAAACCCAAAGTGTACTCACTAACAGTTCCTTATAATCCTGGGGGAAAACCGACAAGTGGGATGCAGCACAAGGTTCTGTCCTGGGCCTGTTGTTGCTCAACATCTTTATAAACTACTTGGATGAAGGTATTGAGGGGATGCTCATCAAATTTGCAGCTGACACAAAACTGGGAGGGGTAACCAATGCTGCTGAAGATAGAATCGGGATTCAAGATGACCTTAACAGATTGAAGAACTGGGCCCAAACTAACAAAATGAATTTCAACAGGCAAGAGGATGGAGGCAAAACTAGAATTAGTTGTCTCGGTCTGGAATTGAACATAGGAAGTTGCCTTATATGTGAATGAGACCTTTGGTCCATCTACTGCAGTATTGTCTACACCAGCCTTTCTCAACCTGTGGGCCCCCATTACCCCTAGCTAGCAAGGCCAGAGCTCAGGGATGATGGGAGTTGTAGTCCAACAACATCTGGGGACCCACAGGTTGAGAACTGCTGGTCTACACTGACTGGCAGCTGTTCTCCAGATTAAGGTCTCCCCGGCCCTACCTGGAGACACTAAGGTTTGAACCTGGGGCCTTCTACATGCTCTACAGCTGAGCCACAGCTCTGGCTCTCATTGGCTCTTTGGAGTCATCTACTGTTGAGCTCCATGCCACTTGTCCTATCAGTCCCCACAGGCAGCAGCAGTTACCACTGGTTCAGAAGTCCTTCCACAAGGAACCTTCTGGATGACCTGCACCAGGAAAGGGTGGCGGGTGCGAATATTCCCTTCATGCCTTGAAAGGTTATGTGCTTTTCTTTCTTTCTTTCTTTCTTTCTTTCTTTCTTTCTTTCTTTCTTTCTTTCTTTCTTTCCAAAACAGCAATAGGCATAGTGGTTTGGGGAGAAAAAGGAACTTGCACACAGAATCTGCAGGTGAATGTGTAGGAGAAGGTTTGGCTGGTTTTTGATTTGTTCTTTACCCCTGTTGAAAATTTTTTGATGTGCTCAGAGGAAGGGAGTCTTTCTTTTGCTACAAAGAAGCCCCCATGGCCTGGCCTGCCTTTTCATGCTCAGGTATTGGTGGGGGTCAGGGAAAAGTGTGTGCTGAGTGTGTGTGTGGGAGGGGGATATGTTTTTGGGGACCTCTTTGGTTTGAAGCTGGGCTGCTTTATCCAGCCTTTCAAGGACCAAAGAGAAAAGGAGACCATGATTCTCTCTCTCTCTACCAAACCCCAGGTGAGCAAGGAAAGCCCTTTCAGTTGCATTACCTGTCTTTTGTTGGAAACCAGAGCCTTTTTAAACATATCTATAGGCACCTCTGTTGGAGGGCTCAAACTGCACAGTTCCTCAAGGCAAGGAAGAAGAAATACTTTTAAAATCTGTTCTCCCTCCCATCCCTGGTGGGTGGAGAAGCTGAAATGGAGAGGGTCACAGAGGGACATTCCAAGGTCATCCAGACCCAGAACAATCTCTGATCTGTTCTGGAAGATGCAGGGTAAGAGGAAATTCTCAAAGCAGGCGAAGGCAGTGGAGGTTGGGCGATTATGGTGAATGGGCACCGCTTCATCAGCCCCCAACTGAAGATTGCTCTGTGGCTGGGAAGAGAGACTGATTGTTAAACTGAGGTTACCAGATTTTTTTCAATGAATCCGGGGACACTTTAATTAATTAATTAATTAATTACTACACGTTTGGGACATTGATGCTGCAGCGATGGTGGTGACAGAGGGGTGGCCACTGCCTTGACCCCAACCGCCACGTTTCCCCTTCCTCCGAGGCTTCTATCTCCTTTCTCCATGAGCCTGGGCAGCCCCTGAGTTGTTGGTTCTTCGGTGGTGGTGGGGAAGCGGTGCGCAGTGGGTCAGGCATGGAAGGTGGAGAAGGAGGGCCGAGAGTGGCGGCGGTGGTGGCGAGACTCTGGCAGCACGATGCCTCCCTTCCCATCAGAGCAGCCCCAATCCCATTCCTACTTCTGCGCAAGCAGGAGGGGGCAGGGATCCCTCAGCTGGGAAGGGAGGCTTCACACTGCCTTTCAGAGCAGCCCCATCCCAACTCCTACTTGTGTGCAAGCTGGAGGGAGCAGGGATCTCTCAGGCAGCTCCTGAAGCCAGCCAGAGCCAACTGCTCTGAGCTGCTGTGACTGCCACTGCTGTGTTTCCCGGGGACATTAGATGAAATCCGGGGACATTCCGGGGATGGAATTTGTCTGGGGACTTATTTGCAAATCCGGAGATGTCTGGTAACCCTATGTTAAACCACTTTGTGAATTGCAGCTCTGTCAGGGGAATAGGGTGGTCTCCCAACAGCTCTTAGCACCATTAACAAACTACAGCTCCCAGGATCCTTTGGAAGAAGCCACGATGGGTTAAAGTGGTATCATAGTACGTGGAATGTATGGTGTGAATGTGGCCCACCTTAATCAGGATCCAACCCAGTGCTCTAGGTGAGGTCTGGCCAATGTGGAATAGAGAGGCACCATTAGCTCTCACCATTGCAAAATGTTCAGCTACAGCCTTGCCGTAGGAGACATGCTTCCTGCTTGCTGCCCCTGAACCAGTCGAGAACAAACTCCCCAGATTTGCCTATCAACACTCCTTGAATGCTGCAACAGAGTGACTTGATGCCGCTACGGTGCTTAAGCCATCTGTGAATCAAGGTTGTGTTTTGAGTCTGGTGACTCAAAGGATGACAGACTAGTATCAGACAGGGCTGGGCAATATCTGGTTTTCAACATTGTGCTAGATCACCAGCTAAACATCACAATATACCGATATATCACAATGTCTGAAATAAAGACGGCGTTATGTAGAGGCATCAGCTGACTCCACAGTTTTTCCTGCATTGTGATTTTTGCTGGCGCCTGCTCTCATGTTTCAGAGAGAGCTGACCTGGCAGAGTTAACAGGGGTTGCAAGAATCGAGAGAAGCATTGGCTGGCTTCATGGTCTCACCCCCGCCCCACCCCACCCCCCAATTGATTTTTTTGATTTTTACATAGCACACACACCATGATTCGTGATATCATTGGCAGGGCAACAATTATGAAACGAATATCACAACATGGACTTCAAACCGGTTTGGGCTGATACATCAATATATTGCCCAACCCTAGCAAAAGGAGACCTGGCAGTGCTCTTGCCATAAAGGAGAAAGATGTATTTTGGATTAGGAAAGGAAAAGGAATGAAACTTGTTTTTGAAAAGGAGATGGAAATTTAAAAGGAGGAAGATCTTTCAGGAAAGCCACTGACAATCTCCGAGCAGGAGATACTGCAAACCATTTGTCTCAATCAGTGGACGTTAAATAATGCACACACTACTTCAACCAAATTCCCCTCCACTTGATTTTTATTAACTTTATTTTGCGATGAGAAATGAGAAAAGCAGCAGCTTTTGGAAGTCTTTAAGGCAAGCTGGTGAGCTGCCACCCGGCTGCAAGATATGGCAGCAGAGGCACAAGCTTACGAGGGCGATTGGGGGATGAAACGTTGTGCATGTGACATCCCAATATCGTGACAGCGTGGGACTTCAATGCCTCCTCTGGCTCCTCCTTTTGCTGCCAACAGTGGGAGCCTGTATTGACCTTTCATCCTCTCATCATCATCATCATCATCATCAGGAGCTGACCACTGCAGAAGCATCATGGTCAGTTCCCCATTTCACCTCTGCACTTTTGGAAGTCTGTGGGGGTCAGGCCCCCAGGGGCATAGGAAGGGGGGTTGCAGGGGTTGCAGCCCACCCTGGGTATTATCCCTGAGGGGTGACAAAATTGCACACTGCGGGGGGCGGCACTTATTGTGGAGCCTGGCCTGCAGTGTGCCTGAGCCACACATCTCTCCTGGGAGTGACACGGTGGCTTGGGCCCCACGCTGCCCGAAACAGCAACATGGGGCTTGCGTCCACCAGGCAGACTCCATGGGCAGCTCGTCACGCTGCCCCCCTGGGCGGATCGCCGCTGCGCCCCCATGCACGGATCGCCATGGCACACCCTGGGCGGATTGCTGCCCGGCCCCCTTGGGTGGATTGCCCTGTCCCCAGTGCTCTGGGTGCCGGAGCAGCTAGCTACGCCCCTACTGGCCCCAACCCCCAAAATATAGGGCCCCACAAAAAGGCTAGGCCCCCTATAGCTGGCACCCCTATTTGGCAGAATGGGTAAGTGAGTGAGTTTATTCCTTCATGGAGGAGCTATCAATGGCTACTAGCCTTGATGGCTATCCTCTGCCTCCACAGTTGGAGGCAGCCAGTGTTTCTGAATACCAGTTGCTGGAAACCACAAGAGGAGAGAGTGCTCTTGAACTCAAGTCCTGCTTGCAGGCTTCTCATCTAGGCATCTGGCTGGTCCCTCTAAAAAAGAGGATGCTGGACTAGATGGGCCATTGAGCTGATCCAGGAGGATGTCTTTAGGTCCTTATGAGCTACCCTTTCCCCCTCAAATCCTTGACATCCTCCCCACCCCACCTTCCCAATCCGTTTCTGTCTGCAGAGAATATCGCACAAAGACTCCCTTGGAGAAATAAAAGCAAGCCACTATAAAACAAAAAGAGAATGTTGGCTGTCCTTTCAAAACAATTTTGGTGCAATCAACAGCCTCAACCTTTTCAGAGAAGGTGCAGAGTACATTGCGTTCTGAGTCTGTTGACTCAGATGGGTAGGATCTGCAAATATGACTGTCTGCAAAAGGGAGAGAAAATTTTGGGCATTCGATCAAAACAACAGAGATGGGGGAAAATCCTCGTTGTGTCTGCCTAGAGCATATTTTCGAAGCAGCTCCCTGCTTGGGAAAGAGTGACTGCTCAGTGGTAGGGCATCTGCTTTGAATGCAGAAGGTCTTGGATTCAATCCCCGGCCTATCCAGGTAGGGCGCAGAATGTCCAGGGCTTGAAACCCTGGAGAGTATGAACAATACTGAGATGGGCCAGTGGGCTTAGTTTCCAACACCAGCTGAAAATGTGCACCCAATGCCTGGACTATGCAGAATTAGATAAAATGACAGGAAGGATTATGAAACCTGTGTGACCAGAGATTCACAGAAGATTGGAAGACATATACAGACTGTTTGAAGAGCAACTGTAATCAACAAATTACGCTAGTAGGACTACAAGAAGTCTTGTAAGGAGAAATATATGAAACATTGCAAAGTAGAGAAAGAATAGAGATATTGGTTATGAGATTTAAATGTAATAGTGGAAGTAAGAAATGTATATTAAGTGAATAGATTGGAAAATTTCCAGATGTGATGGATGGAAGTAAAAAAAAATGGTATAAGATATGAAAGTACGTTTAATTATTGTTGGAAATGATATGTTGAAAAACTAATAATTTTTTTTAATAAAAAAAAAAGTGCAGCCAATGCCAGCCCTTTCATACATAACATGCCTGGAGTACAGAACATAGTTTAACTGATTTTAATACTCAGTTGCCTGTATTTGTGGTTGCAAGTTGTCCCGAGTTTTGGACAAAGGGTGGCAGTGATGGCCACCAACATGGATCACTTTGAAAGAGAAGGAGGGGGACGTAGCTATCTGTGGCTGTTCGCCATGATGACTATGCTGTGCTCTCCATAGCTGGAGACAACAATGCTTCTGAAAGCTAGAAACCACAGTAGGGGAGAGAGCTCTTGTGCTTGGGTCTTGCTTGTAGGTTTCCCAGGGGCATCTGGTTGGCCACTGTGAGAAGGAGGATGCTGGACTAGATGGGCCATTGGCCTGATCCAACAGGTTGTTCTTAGGTTGGCTTGTAAATTGTAATAAGTAAATACATCTGGGGAAAACTCATAAAACCAACGGTTGCCTAATTTCAGAATGTGAACCAGATTAAGAGTAGAGGCCAATCCCTCTCAAGAGGGGCCCGTTGGCTCCATTCTATTGAAATTCCATTTACCTGTTCCCATAATTTGTAGACCACCCTGTAGAAACTATAACCGGGTTCCCCGATTGGTTAACTTTACAGTAATGGGCAGGTTAAAAATTAATACAATGGCTCAAAGTGAGAGTGGAGCTGAATGAATGTGGCCTGCAGAAATCTCTCCCCAGGCACACATTTCCCCCGGGATCTGTTTTATCAGAAGCCACCTCAAGGCCTCAATTTGCACCTAAAGGTGAACCTACCTAACTGGGACTCTCTGAACCAAAAGGCAGCTGTCCTTAAAAATTGACATTTCCCTGAATTTTGCAATGCAGTTCTCCAACCACATCCTGTGTACAGAGATGCATATACTGGGGTAAAGTGTGCCTAAAAATGTATAGAATAGTGCATATCATAGATTGTAGAGTTGGAAGTGACCCTGAGGATCATCTAGTCCCACCCTCTGTAATGCAAGAAAATGCGGTTGTCCCATACAATGATCGAACCTACAACCTTGGCATCATGAGCACCACATTCTAACCAACTGAGCAATATCTGCCGACATTCATACCAAGATGTTTATAATTTCCATGATTAACATTTAAAAAGATAATTCACAAACTGGTGGGGGAATGTGAAGAATGGAATTCAAGGATGGAAAAACTGAAAAACTGAGAGAAACTGAAATGGACAGGTCCCCCTCCCCTAGCTTAAGAGGTAGAGAACAGGCTCCACACAGCAAACAAATCTCTGTCCATCAACATTTTGCCACCACTGTCTCCCCTATTGGTTGTCTATTTGCACAAACGCAGCTGCCTCAACTTTATCCAATGGTAGAACCCGTCCTGGTGCTATCAACTTCCTCTTACTGGAAAACCCTCTGGCTTTAAGATCTCTATGTACGGGAAATGATGAGGCCGCCTTTTCACATTTCTTTCTAGGATTTCAAAATGCCCTAGTTGGCTCCATAAGATATTACAACACCCTCCCTTTCTCTTGATCCTCAGGTGCTTCGCGAAAAGCCAGGAGAAAAGTGGTGACCTACTTTGCTTCATGGGGGAAAAAACTGAGACCAAGGTTGGAAAAGTCTCATGCCTTGTTAGAAATGCTGTGAAATATTATCATACTTGTGACAATGAAAAAGGCCTTCTGCTGTAACTGGGTATGTCTTCTCAGGTTTTAGCTCCGTGAATTCATCCAGTGGAGAAGTCCTATGGATTGCAAGCAGAGGTTCTGTAAACTGCAATTTCATGTTCTATCTATCTACCTACTTACCTACCTACAGTCTATGTGAAAAGGATCTAGGGGTCTTAGTTGACCACAAGCTTAACAGGAGTCAATAGCAGTCTTCTACGTTGCATCAATAAAAGTCTAGTGTCCCAGTCAAGGGAAGTCCTAGTATGACTCCATTCTGCCTTGGTCAGACCACACCTGGAATATTGTGTCCAGTTCTGGACACCACAATTTAAGAAAGATATTAAAAAGCTGGAACAAGTGTAGAGGAGGATGACCTACCACTTTTCCTGTTTTGGAACTGCATAGTGTAAGGTCCTTGGGGTGGAGACCTGCCCTTTTACTCTTCATAGAGTAAGTGTGTGCACAGTCAGGCACACTGATCGTGCATCAGTGAAGGCTTTGAACATTCCAAAGCATGTGTAGAGGAGGGTGACTAAGTGGATCAAAGATCTGAAAACCAAGACTTTCGAGGAATGGTTGAGGGAGTTGGGTATATTTAGCCTGGAGCAGAGAAGACCGAGAAGGGGTATGGTAGCCATCTTCACACATAGAAGACGAAGCAAGCTTGTTTTCTGCTGCTCCGATGGTAGGACCCAAACCAATGCAGTCAAATTGCAAGAAAGGAGATTCTGACTAAACAATAGAAATAACTTTCTGATGGTAAGTTTTGTCTGATAGTGGGAAAGATTCCTTCAGAAGGTGGTGGATAGCCCTTCACTGGAGGTTTTCAAGCAGAAGTTGATGATGGCCATCTGTCATGGATGCTTTGGTTGAGATTCCTGCAAGGAAGGGGTTGGACTAGGTGACACCTGGGGTTCCTTTGAACTCTACAGTTTTATATATGGTATGATATGATGTGATATATCATATCATATCACATCATATCATATCAGTGTGTGGATTACCAATGGCTAAAGTCAGCACAATGGAGGCACGATTGCCTGCGTGATTTCTGCTCAGCTCACCTTTGTATCGGCCCCCACAGCCCATTGTGTAGTCGGGTTTCCATGTCTCCATTGCTTTATTTACCATCTAGCCTTGGAGAAGGTTCTGGCGAACTCAAAGAGTTGTCTCCAACCGAGCTGTACTCAGAGCAGACCCACTGAAATCAATGAACTGAAATTAGCCGTGCTAATTTCATAGCATTGAGGTCTCCTCTGAGTGGACATCAGTTGGAGAGGCAACCCCAAAGTTTGCATTTGGCGAAATCGGGGGTACCCACTATTTCGTGCTGTGCTGGTTGGGCCAAGAAAGGCATTTTCCTTAATATGGACGTTGGAATCGCAGGAATGGAATCTGACAGGCGTGCACGGGCTCCTGGGGGGTGAGAGTGGGGGTTTCCCTTGGTCAATGTATAGCTGGAATATGATCCCTTCCAGTCCTTAACACCATTGACAGGTCTAAAAATAAGGGGGCAGGGGGACCCGTCTCACTTCTTGGCAGACAGAAATAGCCAAGTATTCAAGGCAGTGTGAGGAGGGACTCACCCCCGTAATTAAACAGGATAGTGTATAGTTTGGGATCTCCCTGCTTTGCTGCTAGGATACATCTTTCTTTTTCCTTTTTTTTGTTTAAGTGTTGCCAAGGAAACAAGCTGGAAACCCACCCAAGGGCAGCTGCTGCTGAATTAGGAGGAAGCTGGATAAAGTTCCTTGCAAAGGAGGAGATTGGAGAAGCAATCACAGTTTCGTCACCCTTTAACTGGTTTATCTCAAAGGTCCACAGGAAAAAGCAGGTGCCTGGTAGGTCTTGTTGATGGCTTTGCCCAAATTGGAAGCTGGAATTGGGAGTTTGGGGAGGGTGCCTATCATTTTCTGTTGAAGCCCCACAACCTCTTGCTTCCCAAGATCTCACCCCCACCAGTCACACACAGATTAAACCAGTTCAAATCTGCAGACTCCACAAAATGGAAGAAGTGTTCAACACAGCCTTGTGAAATCAACACTTGACATCCACACTCTGCTAAAACATCAGACATTAAAAACTTCCCAATACAGATATCTTCTAAAAGTCTGATAGTTTTTTATTTCCTTGACACCTGAATGGAGGGTGTTTCATAGGGAGGGTGCCACTACTGAGAAGGCCCCCTGCCTGGTTCCCTGAAACCTCACTTCTCACAATGAGGGAACCAGCAGAAGACCTTGGGAGGAGGACCACCGTGTCCAGGTAGAATGGTGGGGGTAGAGACGCTTCTTCAGATATACTGAGCCAAGGCTATTTAGGGCTTTAAAGGTCAGCACCAACACTCTGAATTGTGCTTGGAAACGTACCGGGAGCCAATGTAGATCTTTCAAGACCGGTGTCATATGGTCTCGGCGGCCACTCCCAGTCCCCAGTCTAGCTGCCACATTCTGGATTAGTTGCAGTTTCTGGGTCACCTTCAAAGGTAGGCCCACATAGATTGTATTGCAATAGTCCAAGCGGGAGATAACTAAAGCATGCACCACTCTGGCGAGACAGTCCGCGGGCAGGTAGGGTCTCATCCTGCATACCAGATGGAGCTGGTAGTCAGCTGCCCTGGACACAGAATTGACCTGTGCCTCCATGGACAGCTGTGAGTCCAAAATGACTCCCAGGCTGCACACCTGGTCCTTCAGGGGCACAGTTGCCCCATTCAGGACCAGGGAGTCCTCCACACCCACCCATCCCCTGTTCCCCAGAACAGTACTTCTGTCTTGTCAGGATTCAACTTCAATCTGTTAACCACCATCCATCCTCCTGAATTCAGCTGGGTGTGTGTGTGTGGAAACGCAAAGGTGGAATTCCTATTTATTTATGTATTTATTTCAGGGCTGAGGAGCTTGTGGCTCACCCAAGTTTGCAACTTCCATCATTCCTGACCATTGGGTATGCTGGCTGGGGCCGATGAGTTTTGGAGTCCAACAAAACCTGCAGAGGCACAGGTTCTGCACCTCCAAACTATTTTCTTACAGTTGTACCCTACCTACCTTCCAAGGTAGCAAATGTACCCCATCCCTGTCTCTTGATTTCACCCTCACAACTACCCTGTGAGGTAGTCTAGGCTGAGAGTTGCTGACTGGCCCAAGGTCAACCAGTGAGCTTCATGGCTGAATGGGGGACACAAACTTAGGTCTCCCTGGTCCTAGTCTGAAACTCTAACCCAGGGCTCAGCAAACTTTTTCAGCAGGGGGCCAGTCCACTGTCCCTCAGACCTTGTGTGGGGCCAGACTATATTTTGAAAATAAAAATAAAAATGAATGAATTCCTATGCCCCACAAATAACCCAGAGATGCATTCTAAATAAAAGCACACATTCTGCTCATGTAAAAACACCAGGCAGGCCCTACAAATAACCCAGAGATGCATTTTAAATAAAAGGACACATAATACTCTTGTAAAAACACACTGATTCCTGGACTGTCCAGAGCCGGATTTAGAAAGCAATTGGGCTGGATCCGGCCCCCGGGCCTTAGTTTGCCTACCCATGCTCTAACCCCTGCACCACACTGCCTGTCTAACAATGACAGGGATGGTAATATTTTCTCCACCAGTTTTTCTTTCCTCTGGAAGAGCACAGCTGCCTTCAACAGCTCTAGAGTCAAGCAGCATCACAGGTTGTGATTGGAATTTGACCTGATGGGTTTCTGCCTGCCTTGACCAACCCCCTGCCCTAATTTTGGTCATTCTGTGTATCTCCTCAAGCACGAGACATGTTCATCTCTGCTGAAATGATGAGAGCTCATTTCACTTGGATTTTCTTCCCTTTGGATTCCTTTGACAGCCTTTGCTGATTTATGATAAAAATAATAATAATTCTTTGAGTTTTGCTCTTCAGGGAGCCGCTGAATATTTGCTTCCTTTCAGAAGCAACAGAGAGAGAGAGAGAGAGAGACTTTGCATTATACTTGCTTATCTCAGCAGTGAAGGCTGTGCTTCCTTTGACGATGGCTGACACCCCCTCCTCTCCCCTTTCAAAAGACGAAGTGCCAAAGATCGCCCCACTTTTTTAAACAGGTCCCAGAACAGCATCACCCTTTTTCTCCGTGTGCGGCACCCAGAATGAAAATGTGCTCAATGGGCAAAAGAGAGGCTTGCGACCATTAGAGAGGAGAGAGGCCACTGCTGCGGTCACCACCACAGACAGCTCCCCTCCGGCCCCAAGGGTTTTACTGGTCTGCCAAAGATAAGATGCCACACAGGTGTTGGAATTCAGTGTCCATTTTGCCAGGGGACAAAGCGGCAATAAGGACATTAATCGTTCCCTCTCTTTCAGGGTGTGAGTGCAGTTCACCCCAGAACCAAAAGAGCACCACCTGCTCACAAGGAGGGGTGTCGGATAATTCGAAGACGCAGAATAGGGAGCAGAGGTTGCCGGTGTTTGCTCATTCATCCTGCATCCAGAACAGAAATCAACCCAGCAAATATGACTAGTATTCACTGTTGATACTGTGATAGCTTTCAGCCCATGAATGATACACAACTGATTGCTTCCCCCCCTCCATTGGCATGACACTTCCTTTGCATTGAAATGAATGGGGCGGAATAATGTAATGACGACATAACATAGGCAATGAATGACGTCTAACATCCAAATATTTGAATAGTGATACAGCTGAATAGGAATAGGGATACAGCTATATTACTTTTAATCGGCAATATATTTTATTAAAATACTTCCCATACAGTATAAATAATGGATCAGTTTATCAATAATTTTAATCACAATTTCCCTTAAGTGCTTTATATGCCCCATCATGGTAACACCAGCCTTGTAAGGTTGAGGGGGCATTGCCCCACCAACTTCAGCTTGCCCCCACCTGCCGGCTTTCTCACTTACAAGCACTCTAGGGCATGAGCCAACTCCTAGGGGCTGATGTCCCTTCACCCCCCGCCTACTGTTGGTCCTCCTACTTCCACCCTCCCTGCCGCCTGTCATTAGCTCAGACTCCACCTGGACTGCCATTGGCTCTGGCTCCACCTGTTGTTGGACTCCCTGCCTTCCGCCCTTCTTACTGTCTGTCATCAGCTCTGACTGTGTCTGCCATTGGCCCTGGCTCCGCCTACTATTGGTCTCCCTATTTCCACCCCATCAGTCCCAATGAGCCCTAGGCACCACTGATTGTAAGGTCGGCCAACCTTGCCCTCACTATATTGAGAGCATATTGCCAGCTTATGAGTGCTGAGGCTGGGAGGACAGCACATTCTAACATTCTCCATGTGGCTTGCAATGCTTTTTATTGTTACTGCGTTATGTGTTTTTGTGTTTTTATATTGTAAACCACTCTGCGATCCTTGGATGAAGGGCGGTATAGAAATAAAAAATAAAATAAAATAAAATAAATACTACTAATTGTGGGATGTGTTATACCATTATACCAGTACAGTGGTACCTCTGGTTGCGAACGGGATCCGTTCCGGAGCCCCGTTTGCAACATGAGCAGAACGCAACCCGCGTCTGCGGGTCGCGATTCGCTACTTCTGCACATGCGTGTGACGTCAGTCTGAGTGTCTGCGCATGCGTGAGCGGCGAAACCCAGAAGTAACCGGTTCCGTTACTTCTGGGTCGCTGTGGGATGCAACCTGAAAAGACCTGAACTGAACGTAACAAGAGGTATGACTGTACAGTCAATTACAACATGCTTTACTTCCTAGCGTGGACAGAGACCTGTTCCTGCTCTAAGTGACTCAGAATGAGTGTGACTCTATAAAAGCAGAGTCACGCAGCCCCTGTTTTGTTCCTGTTTGATTCAATTCTTAGTTAAGTCTCATCCATTTTGTTGGCTGCTGGCCCCCAGCCAGCACCAATTGGGCCCATCCTCACACAGGATGTAAGCCACATTATATGTTTGTAACCTGAAGCTTAAAGCCTGCCTTCTAGGATGTGTACTGTGAACAACTTGCATGTAAACTTATTGCTATACTTTTAAAGACAGACTCGTGAGTCTTTATTGTATTTTAGGAGGGAGAAAAGGGGGCACTAGAAACAATCCATCTGCGCAAGCCAGATTGGATCAGTCATTTTGTAGAGATTCAAACGAATCTACCAGCTAGCTTCCGTGAATATAAAGGGGATTTGCTCTGCTACGTCACTCACTAGCGTGAGTGAAGGAAGAATAATACTTAACAAATATTTCCTTGCCTATTATCCTAAACACCCCCACAATAATAAATATCTTAAGACCCTGATTTCTCATGACAAGGTTCAATCCTCATGCCCCGCCTCCCCTTTCCAGGATGCTGAGGGTTCTAATTATGCAATTTGCCTGCTGCCCGCTGATTTAAAAGCTGAGAAGGCAACTTGGTAGAGGAGAGTACCAGGAAAACAGAATTGTCCTAGAATACATTAGCAACAGTTCAAAACAGACCTCAGCAGCTGCAGGGTGCAAAATGACAAACACTGCACCGTGCACCACATCTTATATATCACTCCCCCCCTCAAAAAAAAGAGGACACTGTTTTGCATACAAATTGCATATGCTAATTTATATGTATAGATGCACATTGAGAGCAAAAGACTGTAATTTAACTAGAAGTGCCTCATTTCCACAGTGGGGATCCAGAACAATGACAACACTCCCAGATCAGTCTAACAACATTTTGACACAATGCAGCGCCCCGAGGCAAAAAAATGGGGACAAAACAGGGATGGCGATTGGTCAGGAATGGAAGTCAGAAAACAGGAACATTTGGGAGGCATGGAATAGTCGTTTACTGGAGGACAGAACTGTGGGAGCCAGAGTTTTGCAGAACGCTGCCGTGGGAGCAGAATTCAGCTGTCTGATCATTCCTGCTTGCATTTTTTTTAAAAAAAAGTTTCTAGCCCATATGGTGGCATATATTTGCTTAGAGGTGTGTGGGTGGCCAACAGGCGGCTAAAGCAAAATTCCTAGTGGTGTCTGATTGGCCATTGTGAGACCAGGAAGCAGGACTCGATGGGCCACTGGTCTGATCCAGTAGGCTCTTCTTATAATATTATTGGGCGGGATTTTGGTGCGACACATTGCTTCCTAATGTGCTGCAGGTCTAGCAAAGTCAGACTAAGGAACACCCAACAGTGAGAGTGCAGAATAACATGTTCAAAAGGAAGAAAGTTGGCCAGTGTCTAAAGCCCGGCTGTCAGCAGAGAGTGCCTTTCCCTCCGTTTTGTGCAAAGCAGCAATCAACAATGACTTTAGATGACTTATATAGACTTCTCTTTTTCCCTGACCCATAAGACTGGACCCCTTTTATGCACATGAATGCCCTGAAGCTCTGTTTTATGGGCTTCTATATTGTTTTATTGCTTTTACAGAGTATTTGTTTTAATTGATATATAATAATATAATATTATAATATAATATATATAATAAAAAATAGTACAGAGTGTTCACCGCTTAAAAAAATTAAGCATATTAGAAATGCATTTGAATTAATAATAATATAATAATAATCTAGCTCTTTTTAAGGGTGCAGCATTTGGAACTTTTTAGTTTAGAGTAAAGGTGAGTAAGCAGCAACCTGGCAGAAGTTTATAAAAAGGAGGAAGCTGATAGAGAAAAGTTTTTTCTCGCTCTATCAAAACACTAGAACTCACAGACATCCAATGAAACTGAACGTTGGAAGATTCAGGAGACATACAAGAAAATATTTATTCATACAGTCCATAGTTAAACTGTGGAACTCATTTCCACATGAAGCAGCGATGGCCACCAGATTGGATGAGTCAGGATTAGAAGGCAATCCATGGCCACAAGCCACAATGGCTATACAGTTGTGCCTTGCTTGACTAACGCCTTGCGACTTGAACGTTTTGGCTGCTGAACGCCACAAACCCAGAAGTGAGTGTTCTGCTTTGCAAACGTTCTTTGGAACCCGGACATCCAATGGGGCTTCCGCGGCTTCTGATTGGCTGCAGGAGCTTCCTGCAGCCAATCGGAAGCTGCGCCTTGGTTTGCAAATATTTTGGAAGTCAAATGGACTTCCGGAACAGATTCCATTCAGCTTCTGAGGTACCCACTGTACTCTGTTGCCACAGCTGGAGGAAACAATGCTTCTGAATACCAGTTGATGCAAGAGAGGAGAGAGCTCTTGTGCTCAGGTCTTGCTTGTGGGCTTCCTACAAGCACATAGCTGTCAACATTCCCCCTTTTTAAAGGGAAATTCCCTTATTCCAAATAGGATTCCTCGCAAGAAAAGGGAAAAGTTGACAGCTATGTACAAGCATCTGGTTTGCCACTGTGAGAACAGGATGCCATAGCTTCCAACATTTCTCCAATGAAAATAGAGAAATTCTATTTAATAATAATACACTGCCCATCTGACTGGGTTGCCCCAGCTACTCCGGGTGGCTTTCAACATATATGAAAACTTAATAAAACATAATACACTAAAAACAACAACACACACTTCCCTATACAGGGCTGCCTTCAAATGTCTTCTAAATGTTGTATAGTTACTTATCTCCTTGGCTCAGTGGTCACATAAATCCATACCCTCCAACATTTCTCTGATGAAAATAGCAACATCCTAAGAAGAGTTTGGATCTGATATCCCGCTTTATCACTACCTGAAGGAGCCTCAAAGCGGCTAACATTCTCCTTTCCCTTCCTCCCCCACAACAAACACTCTGTGAGGTGAGTGGGGTTGAGAGACTTCAGAGAAGTGTGACTGGCCCAAGGTCACCCAGCAGCTGCAGGTGGAGGAGCGGGGAAGCGAACCCGGTTCACCAGATTACGAGTCTACCGCTATTAACCACTACACCACACTGGCTCTCAAGGAAAAGTGGGACATTCCAGGATCAAATCAGAAACCAGGACAGCTTTCCAGAACTGTCCTTGGAAAAAAAGGGCCATTTGAAAAGTCTGGGATGCTGGATTAGGTGGGCCATTGGCCTGGTACTGCACAGAATCTTTCCTTTGATGCAGAATTTGGATAGAGATGGATGCACACTTTTCTGAAGTGTGAGGACGGTGTCATTTGAAGTTTCAGGTCCGAAGAATCTTGGATCTTCCCTACCTAATACTCTCAACAGGAGTTAAGTTTGGGAGCCTTTTCTAGGAAGGAAGTGGGGCGGGCAGGAAACAAAGACACCCAGAACCCCAGAAGCTGAAAATTTCATGAGCCTCCCATGTGACAGCTTCTCTCTGGATTGGTGGCATTTGCTACGCCAGACATTCGGATATCCTAGACTAACAGCTGTTCCCTGAAGGCCCCACAGGGAGCCTTATTCCATCAGTAAAAAGGAGAGAAGGGGAAGGGGGGGGGAAGAAAACCGCTATGTTTGGAACAGCTCCGGTGTCTCGCTCGTCTCCAATGGCAGTATGTTAAAGGAAACAGCTGAGAAACAGCTGCGTAATTGCCGGAACGAAGTCGGCAGTGGCCAGGGAACGGGGAATCGACCAGGGAGATGGAGGGAGAAGGGAGGGTGGAGAGGAGGTGAGGTTTGGATGCATGCCATCTGGTCAAAATTTGGCTTGAGAGCAGAGCAAATCTATAAGTGAGGGTTCTTTGGTGAGGGACGAGTTGGATGTGAAGGAACAGGGCACAAAGAACAAAGAGATTGGCCGTTATTTCAGAAATGAACATGTGTCCGATCCCGTCCTAAAAAGTTGGGCGGATGTCCGTCTTATGCGACCCATCAACACATGGGTTTCTTCTTGCGTGATGGGATTTCACCTCCTCACACACGCCTTAAATTTGCCCTAGGGGTTTCCCTAGCCCTCTGGGGAAGATTTGGTAAGCGTTTGGGGTGAGTGGAGGAGGAGGAGAAAGGGCGCACCCCACGCATTCAAAGTGTACTGGTCCCATGGGTTACCCGAGAAGTGATGTCCAAGTCCGGTCCATGGTCAAAGGTGCAATGTGGAGGCAGTCCGTAGTAGCTGAAACTGGGTGCAGGGCAGGGAGTCAGGTGAAGTCAGGAACAGGCTTGCAAGCAGGGAGCCAGGGCGGGTCAGGAGCTCAGGCAGGAAAGCAGGACAGGGTTCAGGCAGGAACTAGCAACCAACAATGTTGCTCCCACAACTTGGGGCTGGGGCTGGCTGGCTTTTATCTGCCCCGAGGCATAGGGAGGCCCCGATCCTCAGGTGACTCGCCTCTCCTGGCCTGGAGGTGAGCACTCCTCCTGCAGGAACTTAGTTCCCTCCGCCTCTCTGCCCTGAGCCTCTGCAGCTCAGGAGAGGCTGGAGGGTTACAGGACCCAGAGGCAACCTCAGCTTCCTCTGATGGGGCTGAGAGTGGAGCACCTGCAGGCAATGGGTCCTCCATCACCTCAGGAGCCAGAGCAGACTCAGCTGGTGCCTGCACCTGAGGACCCAGCACAGGTGAGGACCCTTCAGGCTCAAGCCCCAGCCCCGGCTCAGGTGGTTCTGGAGGCGGGGAATCCTGTGCAGCCTGGGATTCCTCAGGTTCAGCATCTGAGTCCGAATCCCAGGCCATCACACAAAGTACACATTTACAGCACATGGCTTCCTCCTAAGAATCATGGGAAATGCAGTTTTTAAAGGGTGCTGGGAATTTGTAACTCCGTGAAGGGGGAAACAGCAGTTCCCAGAATCCTTTGGGGGGGCTTTACATTTGCAGCGGATGTATTTTAAATCTGTGGTGTGGCGCAGGGAAAGTTCTGGGGCACAAATGGAAACATGGCCTGTTCTCTCCAGGATTTTGTTCTTATGCAACAGGAAGAGGGGAGATTGGCCAACCTGTCGGCCACGTTGTCTCATGGACAACCTTCCAGGTGCTGCCTGCCAGCGGTGGGTGAGGCCAGAGACAAAAAGTGTACAGGGCAACAGATGCAACATTCCAGCCATGAAAAAAATTCTGTTGAGGGTTGTGGCTTGGGTAGAG